TAAAGCTATTATAATATTCTTTATATTCTCAAAGCTCTCGCGGCGATAAATAGTACATCTGCCCTTGGCAACCGCTGTAATTATTCGCAGTGCATATTTCAAACAGCCTCCCCACCTCTGCCGACACCCTCTCACCTATCCCACCTTTTTCACTGCCCATTTCGGAGACCTTAACGAACCGCAATATGAATTGGCAGCCGCAATATGCCAATGTTAAGCTGCTGTACTTAAATAGAATCAATTAATAACTTAAAAACCACCTGGGCAGAGGCTGTGACAGAGAGTGCGAAAGAGATGCTGCCAGAGTGGGAGAGAGAGAGGAAGTGCTTCTCAGTTACCGTAGCAGTTGCTCTCTGTGAAGCTTGTGGCCAAGGGAAATGCGCATTTAAGTGAAATAAATGACTTTTACTTACTAATTAATGCCGTCGTAGCCGGCGCCGAGGCCAACGTGATCGATGCCAGCAACGCGCTTAATGTGATTAATATGCGCTGTATATGTATGTGTGTGTGTGTGTGTGTATGTGCGTGGGTGTATATCAGCGGGTGTCCGAGTGTGTGAGTGTCATTTTGCAGTTCGTTGTGTTGGTCAGCAGGATATCGAATGACAAGCATTCAAGCGTGATGTTGTTTTTGTTATTGTCGAGTTCATTAGAGTCCATTGTTAAGTGAGCGCCGTTGTTGTTGTTGTCGCGGTTGTCACGGTTGTTGTTGTTGTTGCCATCATCATCATAAGCCGTCGTTATTAAAATTTTGCAAAATTTGAAATGCGTCCGGGCGCCAAGACAATGCCATGAAAAGACAAAAAGAGATGGAAACCAAATCACGTCACATTAGACAATTGCACAATAAATACCAAAAAAAAAAAAAGTTCTACAAAAAAATTGTAAAGAAAGCAAGCAAACAATTAGCAAGCGGAAGAAAACAATTGAACAGATTCCAGATACTGTGTAATACAAATAAATTATTGTTATAGAGGCAGGTCTTTCGCTTGCTATCTATTGACATGCAGACATTATGATCCCTAAGCTGCCTGGAGATAAGTTTATGTGTGGAAGATCTTTCAGTAACTCCAGATATGATTACTTGTTTCAAGATCAAATTTAAATCACTTCATATATTATTATCCATGATCCTTAGATAAAATTTAGATCACTTCATATATTATTATCCATGGTCCTTAGATAAAAATTCATGTGACATTCAAAGATCTAGGATCCTAAAATCTCCATCAACTGTCATAAGATTCTCAGACAATAACTAGAAAATTAATTAATGCCTTTTAGAGGATCTAAATGAAACTATTCCAAGGTCTAGATTGGATATGATTATATGATCTTATATGAACGTCTTTCCTAATCTCAGTCCTAATCTCAGTCCTCCCCTATCTATTTCGCTTTGATTTCGATAGCCAAAGGCCTTATTGATCCCTTCAGTAAATTTCCAACTGCCAATTGTCCACTTTGCACAACGTGCTAGCATGCTCGCTTCCTGGCTTAGGGTATGCGCAGCCGAATTGTGTGAAAGCCAACGAAACAGGAAGTGATTACGTCCGCCATTTTGATGGCGTGTCAAAAGCAATGCCAACAAAAAAATGGCAGCGCCAGCCGAGAGGCAATAATGAACTAGCTGAAACAATGGGCTGACAATCAGCGGTGCTGGGTGGTGCACGGTGGGACAGAGACCGCGCTGGAGCCACAGAGACCGCAGCCAGTCGGCGGCGTTAATTGTTTTGCATGCTCACAAAAAAGCCAAAAAAAAAAGCTGCGCTAGTTGGGCAGAAGAACTCAGCGTAATGAAATGGCATTTCAATGAAAAACGAACTTTGAAATCAAAGTTAATACAAATTTAATGTACAACTTACCGACTGCATCCTGAACCGTTGAGTTTTCGCTGCAGGACAGAAACTTGGAGTAGAAGTTGACCATGACGAGGCCGCCGTTCTTGGCCAGCGACTGCAGGATGTCGTCCTGCACGTTGCGGCTCGTATTGCACAGCTCGTAGGCGGAGGAGTGCGAGAAGATGACCGGCGCCTCGCTCACCTCGAGCGCGTCGCGCATGGTTCCCTTGGAGACGTGCGACAGATCCACCATCATGCCCAGCCGATTCATCTCGCGTATGATTGTCTGCAACGGGTCAAAGAGTAGGCGCGGGTTAGAGGGGTGGGATTAATCAGAGTTCGTTAGCCAGTGATTAGAGCGTGGTCAGCAGACATTCGGCGCTGAATGTGCCCGGGGGTCTTAAATGGCTTTCATATCAAAATGCGATGCCATAAGCTAAGCCCATGTCATAAAACAAAGGCAACGGACGATTGAGTGGGGCCGGCGGCAATGGCGGCGGCGGTGGCGGCGGCGGCCAGAGCACGACCCAAGTACCAAGAGGACAACCAAACAGTTTCATTATGCATGTACTTTTACTTAACCTTTGACTCTCGCACAATGTCTGAGTAAATTGATATTGCTTTGTCTGTCTGTGTGTGTGTGTGTGTGCGTGTGTGGTTATCTCTGTGTCTCTCTGTGTGCGTGTGTCTGTCTCTATATGTCTCACTGTAATTTGTATTTATGCGCGGATTTATGGTCGCTGTCTCATGTGTGTGTGTGTGTGTGTCTGAGTGCTGTGTCTATGTGTGTCCGTCTGTGTGCGTGTGTGAGCAGCTTACATAATTACTAATCTGATGCAGTTACATTTGGCGCCACAAATTATGAGCAAATTAATTACACTGCGCGAGATTAATTTCAATCGCAGCGATTCTCATCAGAGGCACTCGAGCCAACCACAAATTTAGCATTCAAATTGCATATTCGCAAAACGTATCTAAAAACTGCCCAATGACGAGATCTAAAGATAGTTGTATATAT